AAATAGTTGATTCCTTTCGAAAAATTTTATTAAAATATTTGAAAATAATTTAATTCCTGTGAAAAATTCTAATATTTTTGTAAATAATTGAATTATTCCAAAGAATTTAAAAACACATTATTTAAATAATTGATCTTTTCAACGAATTTAAATTAAATTTTTAAGAATAATTACATGTTTTGAGCAATTTCTATTAATTTGCATTAAAAATAATTGAAATCCTATAATGAATTTTATTATTTAGAAAAAGAATTGAACAGTTGGAAAGAATTTTATTAAAATTTCCAAAAATAATTAAAATCCAGAGAAGAATTTTATTATATTTATGCAAATAATTGAATTATTGCTAAAAATTTTATTAAAATGCCTCAAAATAATTGAATTTTTTTGAAAAATGTTGTTATTTTTGAAAATAATTGAATTCCTCGTAAGAATTTTATAAACATTGTTTTAAATAATTAATTTTTTCGAAATATAATAAATATTACCTACGAAAATTTTATTTTAAATAATTGAATTCTTGTGGAGAACTTTATTTGTGAAAATAATTAAATTTTTCAATTAATTATTATATTTATGAAAATAATTGAATTCTTACTGATAATTTTAACAAAAATTTTTTTTAAAAATTGAATTTTTATGAAAAATGTTATTATTATTAGTGTAAGCAATTGAATTACTGTGAAGAATTGTATAAAAATTCCGTAAAATAATTGATTTTTTCGAAATTTTTTTTTGGAAATGCTATTCTATAGAATAGAATTCCTGTTAAATTTTTATTAAGGAGAAAAGGGGACCAAGTGATGCCTGTAAAGATTTGAAAATGTTGAAAATTAAAATAAAACAAAGCTGACTAATAAATAATTATCCATAGGAATTCAAACAGTTTTATGGATTACTATTCATCGAAAGATCAATTAATTCGACATTAAGTGATTGGTTAATTGGACATTAAGTGTCCACAATTTTCATAATAGTATGTAATAATTATCTTTGCAAATTGCAAAACATTTTAGTAATGTAATAAAATGCAATTGATTTCCACTATATGCTTCGAACAACACACTAGATAAGAAATTCATGATTGATTTATAGTTTCTAATAGAAAATAAAAATAAACACGAGTGAAGCATCCTAATTTTCTAAACAATACATATTCACTGAAAATTATATGGTCGTCAAAACATTTTATATTTCTACTGTTAGTCAATTTTTCTTTTTCTTTTTTTTATTTAACAATTTAAAGTAAATATTTTCCATATGGTAAATATGTGATTTTAATAAACACATGTAACAGAAAATATTGTGCTTATTTGTACTTTTTGAAAACATTTGCTCAGTTATTGAAAAAGAGAAATAATGTATATAATTATTGAAAAATAGTTGTATTTATAGTGACGACAATCATTGATGTATACAGAACTATTTGTTTACTTTTTTCGATTTCTATTTGTTTTTTTTTTCAAGTGACTTTTGAAAAAGATTTTAGACAATAAATTTTTAAAGTGAGTTTAACTAATTGAAGATTTGAAACCAATTGAAGATGTAAATGTATAAAAAAGTTTCTCGGTTTTTTTTTTAAATATAGGTTTGAGAAGTCATATTGTTTGAAAGTTTAGAATATGCTCATCAAATTCAATTTCTGGAATGTGAAATAAATTATAAGTTTCTTATCTGAAAAATGAAGGGAATAAACATGTCTTTGTAATGGAATGGAGGAAATGTAAAGCGAGAGAGAAACTCTTGGGGGGGAAAAAAAGTATCTAGAAAGGCAGTTCGCGCCTCGACGCTGCAAAAACTTTTCTACCAGATATTTATCATGTTCCCTTCTCGCAAGGGCCTTTTTTCAGGCTTGTTTTTACGCGAATTCACGAAACTTTTTTTGTCGGCATCCTTCGCGCGTTCGTTCGTTCATTTCCCCTTCACGCCCTCAAGAGATTCTGTGCGCTTGAAACGAGCTGACATAACTCTTGAGGCGTTATCTCGACGATATTTCTGTCTACTACGGCAAGTTTATCTTCTGTGTTGGATCACACTCTTCTAGAGAAAAGCGAATGTTTTGGGTCTTCAAAATGGCCTCAGTTGGTCATCTCTGCAAATTTCAATCTAGTGTCTTGTAAATATTTTGAAAAATTATTGCAACTTTGAAAACACAAGAGTTGCACTTTTTGAAAATGAAAATAAATATCTTGCTCCCGAAAAACGAGCCACGTCGAAAAATTCCATGGACCCTTCTCCATGGAATTTCCGTGGAGTTTCCATGGAAATTCTACAAGTTTTTTATTTTAAAAATATTTAAACATTTGTCATAGGTCAGGAAAATCAGGGAAAAGTTAAGGATTTTTATTAAAGTACTGGAAAAAATTTAATTTATAAGAAGTTATACAAATGATTGCAAAAATGACACGTCAAAATTTCAATTATCTTCAAAAATAATAAAATTCTTCTTCAAAATTCAATTATTTGAAAAATTTTAATAAAATTCTGGTCAAAATTTCAATTATTTACAAAAATTTTCCTTAATTCAATCATTTTCAATATCTACTATTTTATAATAAAATTTATCAAAAGATTTCAATTATTTAAAAAAAGTGTTGATAAAATTTAAAGCAAACATTACATTATTTTCAAAAATAATAAAATTTTTTACCGAGATATTCAATTATTTTCATAAATAATAAAACTCATTATAGAATTTCAATTATTTTTAATACAATTTTAATCGAATTCCTCGAAAAATGTAATAATTCTTAAAAATTTTATTAAAATTAGTCGAAAAAATTGAATTATTTAAAAATTTGTTGATAAAATTCTTTATGAGGATTCACTTGAAGAACATTTATTTATTCAATAAATTATTTATTTGCATTTTATTTGTATTTAAAATTTTAAATAATTGAATTCTCGTTGAATTTTCTACTAAAAATAAATTGATTAAAAAATGAATTTCAGTTAGAATTTTATATAATAATTGAATATTCAAAGCATTATAGCATGAATTGTCAAAAATAATTGAATTTTGATTATTTTCAAAAATAACAACATTTTTTAAAAAAAATTCAATTCTTTTTAAACATTTAAAAAAAAATTTTAGCAAAAATTCAATTATTTGCATAAATAATAAAACTCTTCTCAAGAATTTAATTATTTTTGGAAATTTTAATAAAATTCTTTGCAACTGTTCAATTCTTTTTCTAAATAATAAAATTCATTGTAGGATTTCAATTATTTTTAATGCAAATTTACAGAAATTGATCAAAAAAAATTGCTCTTAAAAATTTCATTTAAATTCGTTGAAAAAATCAATTATTTAAAAAAATGTGTTTTTAAATTCTTTGGAATAATTCAATTATTTACAAAAATATTAAAATTTTTCACAGGAATTCAATTATTTTCAATAAATATTTTAATAAAATTGTTCGAAAGGAATCAATTATTTTTAATATAATTTTAATTAAATTTTTTTTGAAATAATTCAATTATTCATTTAGATTTTAATAAAATTCTTCCCAAGAATTCAATTATTTACAAAAATAATTCCTCGAAAGAATTCAATTATGTCAAAAAATAACAAAATTATTCACGAAAATTCAATTATTTAGAGGCATTAATTGTTTACAAAATTCAATTATTTTCATAAATAACAATATTCATCGCTCAAGAATTCAATTTTATTTTTAGAGAGTAATAAATTTTTTCTTGGAAAATGTAATTATTTTAAAAATTTTTTACTAAAATACGTCGAAAGAATTTAATTATTTAAAAATTTGTTTGATAACATTTTTTATGAGAATTCAATATTAAGAAACATTGAATTATTCAATATATAAATTATTTATTTTTCTATTTAAATAATTAAATTCTTTTAGAATTTTATAATAAAAATTGATTCAAATGTAAATTTCAGTTAAAATTTTACATAATAATTGAATATTAAAAGCATTATAGCATGAATTTTGAATATATTTTTGAAAATAATTACATTTTTCGAAGAATTTACTTAAAATTGTATTAAAAATAATTGAAATCTTGTGAAGAATTTTATAATTCATGGAAAATAATTGAATTCATGTAAAGATTTTCTATTACATTATTTTTTAAATAATTTAAGTCCTGTAAAGAATTTTATTATTTATAAAAATAGTTCAATTCTTGCAACGAATTTTTATTAAATTTTTTTTTAAATAATTGAAATCCTGTAAAGAATTCTATTATTTATGAAAATAATTGAATTCTTCCAACGCATTTTATTACATTTTTTTTTATAATTGAATTCATTTAAGAAATTTTATTGAAATAGTAGATTTTGAAAATATTTCGAATTTCAGCGAAGAATTTCATTATTTGTGAAATTTTATTGAATTCTTGCAAAAAATTTATGAAAATAATTAAATTTTTTGAGGAATTTATTTTTAAAATTGTAATAAAAATAATTGAAATCCTATAAAAAATTTTATTATTTATGAAAATAATTGAATTCATGTGAAAAATTTTATTACTTGTAAAAATAATTGAATTCTTTGGAAGGATTTTATTAAAATTTCTGTAAATAGTTTAATTTTTTTTTGTAAAATTTTATGAAAATTTAAATTAGTATAAAACATGAAGATATCGATCACTCCGAGTCTTCGACTCGGAGTGATCTATATCTTCATGTTTTATAATAATATTCTTATAATTTTTGAATCAGAAAAGAGTCAAGGAAATTCTGTAAGTTTTTTTGTTTTAATAATATTTTAACATTTGTATTATGTTTCGAATTTAATTATAAGCTTTGTTGCAATTTTTTTGCAAAATGCGAATTTCATTCTAGTTTAGCAAAGTAATTGCAACAAAGCTTATTTATTAGACTCTAATCATAATAGAAATGTTAAAATATTATTAAAATATAAAACTTTAATACCGAAAATCAGCTCTAATTTAGAATCTTTTATTTACAACATGAAGTAAATGAATAGAAATGAAATGAGTAAAACTATGTTTTCTTTTCTGTTTTGCAGGTAGAATGTCAACGAGTGGAGTTGGAAGTGGACCAGTGAGTCAAGTGTGTCGTCCTCACTTTCATAGTTCAGTTCTCCACCCCTGGTTATCCAGTACGGGTGCAGACACATCAAAGCCCTGGGGTTTTCCGTCGAGCGCCGCGTCGACAGGTGGCAGTGGCGAAGAGAAGCCCCAAAGTCCGTTGAATTCCTCCTTACCTCCAAGCTCAGGAAGTCTCTCGAGTCATGGGGGTGCGAGTGGTCATCACCTCTTTTCCTTCCCACCGACGCCGCCAAAGGACGCGACGCCCGACAGCATAACCGCCAGTACGACATCCAGCACGACGAACGGCACCAGCAACAACAACAACAATTCAACGAGCAACAGCAATAACAATTCCCTGAATCTTGGTGGCGGCGGAAGCAGCGAGTATCAAGCAGCTGTCGCGCACGCCGCCGTCATGGGCGCCTTCATGCACCACCAAGACGCCCTCGGAGCAACTTCCGGTGGCTCGTGCGACGTGAAGCCTTCTGTGATGCTGGGCCACCATCACGGCGCACCCTCACCACCCCATCAGCACAACGGCTCGAACGGCGCTTCCGGTCAGGTTAAGCAACGCGAAGGTAATAACCAATCCACCGGAAGCAATGGTCCATCCAGCGTCGGGAATCAGACCACCGCCAGTCAGCAACAGCAGCAGGACTATCAGAGCAATCAGCAGGCACCAAACTCACCCTGTCGGGAATCCTACGCCTCGTCCCATCACACGTCCTCTGCCTCCCAGTACGATCCAACTGCCACCGCTTACAACATGTACCAACACCTTCAATATCCCACCCATCATTCCCACAATCCCCACAATGGGCCATCCTCCATATTTTCGGCGAACCATCATGGCTCCGGTGTTCCCGGCGTCAGTCCCGACTCGAAACTCTTAGGCTCCCACGGGAACACACCCCATTCGCCCAGTTCCCAACAACAGCAGCAGCAAAAGCCGAGGAACAAGTCCAGAACGTCCGCCGGTAAGCGGCACCGCCTTATTTTTATTTCATTTAACTTTTTTTTATTTCTTCTTTTCTTTCTTACTTACTTATTACTTTTCCGTTACACCTTATGGTTTGGTTTCTTTTCTTTTTGTTCATTAACTTGTGTTCACCATTTTCGTTTATATATGCACTGAGGATGTGCGATGTGTTATTGTTGTTTAGTGTGCCTCAGACTTCGGACTCACAAATTCTTTATTAACTTTAATCTCAATTTTGGAGGGAAATTATTTGTCCTAACATGTCCGTTGTTATCGGAGAAAAAATATTTTCGAACCTTAGAAAATATTTCTGAACCTTAAAGAATATTTCCGAACCTTAAAGAATATTTCCGAACTTTAAAAAATATTTCCGATCCTTAAAAAATATTTCCGAACCTTAAAAAATAGTTTCGAATATTAAAGGTTGGAAATAATTCCCCTTTTTTTAAGTAACACGCGATAAAATAATTTGGTTCCCGCGTAAAAAAATGGAATCAAATTCTAGCTATGGCCAAAGAATTTAGCCAAAGTAAAGAATACCACAAATTACTGCGCTATTGATAGCGAACCAAATGGCTAAAATAGTTTAAAACCTTTAAAATTTTAAATTGTTAAAATTCTGACTAAAGTTAAAATCTAATGAAATATTCTCAACGAAAAAATATTTTAAACCCTTCAAAATCTTCAAAATCTAATGAACCAAGGTTAAGGATAAAAATATTTAAAAAACTATAAATTTATATATTTTAACTGTGGTCAAAATCTGGGAAACCATAGTCAGGGCAGCCCTCTCGGATTTTACGATTTTTTTTACAACTATTTTCAAAAAATGAGACTTTTTTTCGACTTATTTTAAAAAATTGCGACTATTTCGAGTTTTTCGACTTTTTTCTTTACAATTTTTCCGACAAAATACCATATTTTTGGTATAAAATGCAAATTATTTTGATTTTTATAATGTAAACAGTAATATAAACAAATCTTTAAAAAATTATTTTTCAATTATTTTTCTAATTATATTTTTGAAATATACAATTAAAAAATTTTTCAATAAATTGAAATTTTGTAAAATTTAACTAAAAATATTTGATTTTTCTAAGTATTTTATTAAAATGATTAAAAAATCAACTTTTGAAGAATTTTAATTGAAAAATATTAGATTTTTCCAAGTGTTTTATTACAATTTTTGAGGAGTTTTAATTGAAAAATAGAGTTTCAATTAAAAATATTTGATTTTTCCAAGTATTTTATTACAATTTTTGAAAATCAACTTTTGAGGAATTTTAATTGGAAAATATTTAATTTTTCAAGTATTTTATTACAATTTTTGAAAATCAACTTTTTGAATAGTTTTAATTAAAAATATTTGAATTTTTCAAGTATTTCATTACAATTTTTGAAAATAAACTTTCTGAGTATATAGTTTTAACTGAAAAACAGAGTTTTAATGAAAAATATTTGATTTTTCCAAGTATTTTATTACAATTTTTAAAAAATCAACTTTTGAGGAATTTTTAATTGCAAATTTTGAAAATAATTGATTTTTCAAAAATTTCCATGAAAAATCTTCAAGTGTAAATTTATAAATTATGAAAAATTGATGAAAACTAGCTTCTAAAAATTATATTAAAATATTTTTGAAAAAATTAATACTCATAGAATTTTGCTCTTGCAGTTATTGTAAAATTCAATTATTTTCAATTATACATATTTCCGAAAATCAATTTGTTATTAAAATTCAACAAAAAATTAGTTTCTTCCAAATTGTACAAAACTTCTTTAAAGAAATTCAATTATTTTCGAAAAAATTCAATTGTACTATTTTTAAAAAACTGAGTTTTATAATTTGTTTCATTAAAATTTTGTAAGATTCATTTTTATTTGATTCATTTTTTATTCGAATAAAATAAATTAAAATTTTCAAAAATTTACTTTTTTATACTTATTACATAGGTATTTGGAGAAATCACGTTCACTTTTAAAATTAAAATTCTTCATAAAAATTTGATTATTTTTCTTTATATTTTTTTCAAAAGTTGAATTATTTTTATAAGATTTTACCAAATTTCAACTTATTTGGAAATTTTTATATAAATTGAAAACCTACAAAGTTTAAAAAATTATTTACAAAATTAATTTTTAGAATTCCGTTATTTTAATTTTTTTTTTTTAAATCAGTTACTTTCAATATTTTTGGTATAATATTTTCTGTAATTAATCTTAATAACTTTTATAAACTTTTATAAAAAAAAGAGCCATAAACATTTACAGTGACAATTATTATGAAAAATTGAATTTTTATATTTAAATAATTGAAAGAAAAATTTTAAAATAATTGATTTGGAAATGAAGTTTAGTTAAAAATTGTAGAAAATAATTTAAAATTGAAAGGGTTATAATAAATTGCAATTTTAACAAATTATTAAATTTCAGATTCTTTGGTCGTAAATTATTTTTGCCTTTGAACATAGTTTGCTAAATTTGGGAAATGGTAAAAAAAATTTTTAATTTTTAGGTTTTAAACTATTTTTGCCGTCGACAATGGTTCGCTACTTAGTTAAAAAATTAAAAAAGTTACGTGTTTAAAAATATTCTTGTTTTTTCCATACTTTTCTAGATTTTTGCCATATAGTTCAAAATAAAAAATTTTTCATACGTAAAAGAAATTTTTGTCTTTGGTAGTATTCAAAAGCAGTGTTGTAATTTAAAAGCAAGTTTAATGTTGTGGTTACAGACAAAAAATTTACAATTGGAATGAATGAAATAAAAAAAAAATTTCGAAAAACATTTTTTCGACTATTTAAGTATGAAAATTAAGGGTGTAGTGTATTAAAAGGTCAGACAGTCTGTCCCAACCGCAATATCTACTTTGATTTTCTCCCCCAAGTAACTCAAAGTAGAAATTGCTGTTTAAGGACAGACAATTTTTTTTCCTCAATTTTTCAGAAAATGGAAATATTAGCAAAAATTCAGGGAATTTTGGTTCCTTCAATTTTTTGTTCCTTCAAATTTATTTAACTAATAATTTCCTAAAATATTGTTTTCCCAGTTAATTTAAATTTGTATGCAAAGTCCGAGGTCGGAGTAATTTTGAAAATGCAAATTCACCATCGCACCGCCTTATTCATAATGTTACTTTTAAGTTTTTGTGAATCTTATTTGTACCTAATTTTCCGGAAGTTTAATCTATTTTTAGTTTATAAAGTTTTGGATTTTTTTTCTATCATTATCTTTCTTTTTTTGGTGAGCTTTCGGTGGCGGTCGTCAAACGCTTACAGTATCGACACATAAAATTTTCACAAAACTAATTATTTTAATAACTAATTTTTTTATTGGATAAAAAATAATTGAAATAATTTGGAAAAAAAATAAAAGTTATTTTCATCTCGTTCATTCTGTAAGCGGAAGTAAATGGACAACAAAGATTCTGTATTTTTCCTCACTGAATTTGTTGAGTGGCACCCACAAAACGAGCGCACATACACGAGCACATTTTTTATGTGGTGTGGCTACTGTTTGTTTATTATTTAAAGCAATTTTACCCTGAATATTAAATATTAAATATTAAATATTAAATATTAAATATTAAATATTAAATATTAAATATTAAATATTAAATATTAAATATTAAATATTAAATATTAAATATTAATATTAAATATTAAATATTAAATATTAAATATTAAATATTAAATATTAAATATTAAATATTAAATTAAATATTAAATATAATATTAAATATTAAATATTAAATATTAAATATTAACTTTCATTAAAAAATTATAGAAAATAAAAAAGTTTTTAAAGCGAAAATTTATTTTTAATTTTTGTTTCACTTGATAAAAATTCAGTTTCATAGTGAGCGGCGCTTTCCCAACACCCTTAATAATTGCAAAACATAAATATTCCTTTGGTTAATTAATCCTTCGCGCTTGGAAAATGCCGGATGCTAGAATTGCAGTAATCAGTGGTCGCGGTGAAAATTCTAATTCTATTAACAATAAGGCATCATTGCGCGCTGCGGACGCCGTTAATTAAATTTCCTTATGACACGCGTCTTGAGTCATGTGCAGTTATAGAAAAAAGGCACTATAAGAAAAACTAATTACAATCAGTTGTGTGAATAAAAATACTGAAAATACATATAATGTAAAGTACGTAAACGTCTCATTGATAGCGGGGAGTATAACTATATACACTTATTCAGCTACTTATTCCACGGATAATATTCCACTCTTATAAGGCATTGTATACAAATCACCCTCTCGAGTGAAAAGAAAAAAACAAGAGCAACTTGGCCATTAAACAATGAATATTGTTTGCGGAACCTTGTTCCTCTCAAAAGACACTATACGAAGCGTGTCATCAACTTTTTCTTATAAAATAAAAGAATTTAATTATCGAGCGTGGCAAACGTGTAAGAAACAATTCTTCTTTTGCACTCTCTAAACTTGAATAAAAAAAAACTATTCTCTAACATTATCTCGAATCTAGATAATCTAGAAAACCCTTAAGCAAAATGTTTCAAAAATTTTACTAATGTCTTCGAAATTAGTAAGCAAAATGTTTCAAAAATTTTACTAATGTCTTCGATATTAGTAAATTTTTTGAAACATTTTTCATAAATTTTACCACACCCTGTGTATGAAACAGAGAAAAAAACATGTTCATGTTATCGAACCCCTGAAATCTCATGGCAATAAAGCTCAAATCGAATTAAGCGAAACAATCTGGAGAAGAGCCTTTCGTAATTACTTTCAGAGCCAACTACAATTAGAAACACATTAAATTGGACTAGATTACATCTGATGAGATTGAGTTTAGATCAAATCAAACTTTACCAATTGACCCAGTAGCAATGCCGTGTTTTATATCCTAAAACGACTTTTAGTTTTCGCCATCATCAACTATCAATCTTTTTTCTTTTTTGGTATATTAAGTTTAGATTTTCAGATATGGGTAATTTAATGACATCTCAATTTGAGCTATAAGATTTAA